ATTGCCGGTGAGGCCAGGGTCCTCTTTTTCTCCATCTCGGGTTCGGAATTTGTCGAGATGTTTGTTGGGGTTGGTGCCTCGAGGGTGCGTGACCTTTTCAAGAAGGCTAAAGAGAATGCTCCTTGTATTGTGCTTGTTGATGAAATCGATGTTGTCGGGCGGCAGAGAGGGACGGGCATTGGTGGAGGGAATGACGAGAGGGAGCAAATGCTAAACCAGCTCCTGACAGAAATGGACGGGTTTGAAGGGAACACGGGCATTATTGTAATTGCGGCTACTCACCGAGTTGATATTCTTGATTCGGCTCTTTTGAGACCCGGGAGGTTTGATAGGCAGGTATATATATGAATATATATATATATATATATGTGTGTGTGGACAGTATAATTTTATTTCTGTTTCAAATCAGATATGTTATACTGTCTGTAAAATAATGAAATTTGTCTTTGTGCAGGTAACTGTGGATGTCCCTGATATTCGTGGAAGAACAGAGATCCTGAAGGTTCATGCAAGGAATAAGAAGTTCGATTCAGATTTGTCGCTTGAAGTAATAGCTATGAGGACACTTGGTTTTAGCAGAGCAGATCTTGCAAATCTATTGAATGAGGCAGCTATCCTTGCTAGCCGGCGTGGGAAGACAGCCATTTCATCTAAAGAAATAGATTACTCTATTGATAGGATAGTTGCTGGGATGGAAGGGACTGTCATGACCGATGGCAAGAGCAAGAGTCTCGTGACGTACCATGAAGTAGGTCACGCTATCTGTGGGTAAGTTCCTACATCATATAGGTTGTTATAGGATAATCTTAAATGTCGATTCCTTAATTGTTTTTTTGCTCCTATATTAAATCTCAGCAATCGTTGAGATCAATCACTATAGTTGACAACTGAATTTACCATTTCGACAATTAACGATTAAGATTTTGATCTATTTTCGAACTGCACAGAACTCTTACTCCAGGGCATGATGCTGTTCAGAAGGTCACCTTAGTTCCTCGCGGTCAAGCACGTGGTTTGACCTGGTTTATCCCTGCAGATGATCCAACATTGATCTCCAAACAACAACTTTTCGCCAGAATTGTTGGTGGGCTCGGTGGACGAGCTGCAGAGGAGATCGTATTTGGCGAGCCCGAGGTCACAACTGGTGCTGTGGGTGACTTACAACAGATCACTGGTTTAGCCAAACAGGTATATATATATTTTTTTTATCTTGCAATTTGCCATCTTCTATCATTAAGTTGGGCAAATTGCTGGGCCAAGTATCCCAAATCTGTTTGGGCCTATTGTTGCTAAGAAGAGCTGTGCATATTGTTTTATAGATGGTTGTTACGTTCGGCATGTCGGAGATAGGCCCGTGGTCGCTCATGGACTCGTCGGCCCAAAGTGCGGATGTGATAATGAGAATGATGGCACGAAACTCAATGTCTGAAAAGCTTGCAGAGGATATTGATGCTGCAGTGAAGAGGATATCGGACGAGGCGTACGAGATTGCGTTAAGACACATACGAAATAACCGAGAAGCTATGTGGCTCAGAATTACAAGGGAAAAGAGAGAACACTCTCAATTTAATAAAAACACTCAAACTCAATTCTTGGATGCTTAGAACTGAATACAATGGGGTATTTATACTAC